ATGAAAGACTGGATCGAAGCGTATTTGGAGGACCACGAGAACACGAGAAGTACCGGTGTGACGGAGAGATAGTGAGTGAGATCTTGACCGAGAGGAAGACGTAGATGGACGAACTGACGAGAGTCACAAGTGTGGGGAAATACGAGCGTGCATGATGCAAAAGAGGACGAGGCGGGTGGGGTTGGGGAATGTTTGCAGAAAATCTTGTTCAGATGACCAAATTAGCGGATAGATAAAAAATACAGTATTATTCAGATCCAGAGCGCAGTGAGCACAGGGACAACCAATAGAAGAGGAAACAGAAGCGCGGTCAAACCGACGTGTCAAGTGGGAGTTTTTCCACACATACGCAGAGTTGCAAAGAACAAGGCACTTCACACAAGGCATCAAAACTGATCTTTCTCTAGTTATCAAGCCAGTAAAGACAAAAAAGCTAGACAGAGTTGTGGAGGGTAACGGTTCACTGATTGCATGTTTGTGGGAAATTTTCGGATGACCGAGAGCAGGACAGTGGTTACCTTTGAAACAGCGAGGCGGCCTGATCCAGCTGATCGGCAATCTGGCGATAGAATCGTGCTTGCTCGCGCAAATACTCGCCGAATTTAGACAAATATTCCGTTCGTAACTGATCCATGATCCAATTACACTCGGCCTGTACGGAGCGTGTGATAACCAGTGAACCCGAGCGAATAGTGCTTGCGTCAGTGCGTGCAAGTTTCCCCTCGGCGGCCAGTCGATCGGCTTCGTCAGAGGCGATACAGGCCGACTTACCCAGACCGATTACACTAGGAAATCCCGTGAACAGGCGAACGAAATCACGCAGACAGTCGAGCAGGGCTGTGGTCGGTTCACACTGAAAAAATACATCAAAACGGGACAAATAATGAGCGTCATAAGTGTCTAATTCGACCAGTGTCCCCACATGATCTCAGGGAGGAGTAGGGGCCGTGATGGTATACATGATGCACGGCAATAACCAAACCAGTAGCAGCTCTTTGTAGTTATCTGTCGGACCGCGGATCCTCAAGAACTGACGAATTTGGGCGTGAGAGTGCACTCGATGGCTCACCGAACAATTTAAACACTCCTATCGAACACTAACGCGATAAGATAAATAGACCGATTTCTTCGAATGTGCCATGAAAACCGCATAGAAATATGCTTATTCCTAAAGTAGCACCAGTCGCAGTCTAAGCGGACTATCGTTTGAGGTGACTATGACCAAAACATACCGCATAGTGAAACCACATGTTGCTGCTACCGGTGTGACACTGGAAAAACAAATTCACACAACCGGAAGTTTTGAACGACGAGACTCATACACTCCTCGAAGCTCTTTGTCTGTTGCTTGAAGTTCGGAGAACTCTTGAGCCAAGCGAAAGACAATTGTTACCCACGTACAAGTGCGAATTTCAGTCCACTCACACTTTTCGATGTTTCGGTCTTCCCAACAAATGTACGTTCCCTTACTCTTTTGTTCAACAATATACATCAACAACAAAAAGGCCGAAACGGTTTTCCCACAGTTTCAAGGTACAGCAGTCGATACGATCAAACAGATTCCGCCAGAACCACAGCCAGTGCAATTAGAGTGGAACGTCTTGTACGCGTACAACTAGATGAGAACAATCATGCATTCTCGGGGGTGCCAAGAAATTCATTCCCAAAGCTCTTTCCTCGAACAGTTGGATGAGTGGAGAAAATAAAATTGGCATAAACAAGTCGACTGGCAGAATCAAACCGTCAAACCGCACCACCGAGGCGAGGGTTGGTCCGGGTCAGACAGAGGAGATCAGAAAACCCGTGATCCTTCGTTAAAACATTTTGTCTATCTGTTGCGGTGTTTTGAACTACCGATAAACATCGTTCCTAAAGCACATCACCACACTCGTACTGATCAGTCGACGCACATTGCTACATCATTCATTATTATTGACCTATGCGTCCAATCCGTATCGAGCTGAATTAGCGAGAAGATAAAATAGTCAAAAACGGGACTGGGGGTCTTCCAAAGTCGCCAAAGGAATTTAATCAGATTTTATCAGATTCAGTGCTTCCGGTAGACCCAGAACAATGGGTTGAATAACACATTGAGTTTACCTTTCTCCATATCAAGTACAGTTAGGAATCGGCATTTTGCCGTGCGAAAACAGGACGGTCTACTTTTTCAGAGAGTTGTGTTCTATCTGGTGCCCCCGTAGGATGCGCATAACAAAACCGCCCAACCTTGAATGAGGCGAACTTCAGTTGAGCGAGTAAGTAGACACGGATAACCATCGGCCGAACCCGAGGACTCGGCAGATTTTTCTTTGGAAAGCATTCCCCTCATAAAACACCACATGGGTCGGATAATGGCTCGGAAACGTAGCGAATGTGACCCGACAATAAGATAAGACCACGGACTTTTGTAACCTTCCATCCTAGTTGGTAAGTCCTTCCAAAGGAGACGAATGAGACAAACATTCGTTTGGAGTGTTCGGAACAGCCCTGGCATCCAGCAAATGGCATCTGGAAATGCAAAAGCTAGACATGCGACCTCGTATAAGAAGGATGAACAGCAGTGGGTACACCGAAAGGAATCATATTCACGAGAATTTCAATGGACTATTGTGATCAATGAGGCCGGCCTATCCTCTAGCAGAAAATAGTCATGTTTGGTTGGTTGTTAGAACATCTTCGGTTTCACGTTTCTCGGAACAAAACATAAACTAGTGACCAATTTTTTTCACCCTTTTATTCTTTTGTGGCTACAAAGCTGCGTAATGGGAGTGAATGACTGAGACCATCTGTCACCATTAGTGCTGGGATTAAGGACCGTGGATGGATTTAACTGTCAGTTGGCCAGGATTTGGACCAGAATCCATTCGGAGATTGTTTAGGTTAGTCGTAGATGGATGCAGTTACAGATTAAAATGCGGAGGGGAGAAGCTAATCTAAAAGATAAAATTGCACGCAGTCTAACAGAGGAAAAGAGATCAAAGCTCGGAAAAAAACACCGTTCCGGCGGGAGCAAGAACCTAGACGCTCGGTAAGCAAAATCCTGGTCTATCCCATCATCATCATCATCGTGTAGCGAAATACAGAGAAGCGAACTTCACTGATCTGTGCCAAACTCGTAATCCATATGCATATGGGTTTGACAAACGGGTACTGCTAGGGTGTCCAGCCACTAAGGAGGAGAACGATTAGGTTTCTCAACTAAAGCCTTTATTTCTGACAAGAACCTAACCGGAAGGCAGCGGTGAAGCGAAGCGGAGGCCCATTTACCTGGATCATTTACTCCACCATTTTTTACCGACTAAAACGCAAATTCTAGTCGAACCCCCAAACCTGGAGGACCAGGAGACCGAACTTCGTCCGACCTCTACCTTTCGACTTTCCAGACATGATTAGATCTTCGGCTCGACAAAAGCCATCCTGTATAGCTCGTTGGGTCAGAGAGGTGCACAAGCCACCACACCACGTCAAGGTGCAGTCTCGTCATGATGCCACCGAGTCTAACCTGTCAGGATCTTTCAGATGGGTGATGGGGGAGGGGTGAGGCGGTTTGGGGTGTTATCGGTGCTGTGCTCCGGGTTCCCCAGTTCGGAAACAGAGTCCGGGCACCAGCACCACTTAATCTTTGTGGGAGGAGCTTCGTTATCGCCGGACTGTCACGCCGATTTCTCACTGGAGCCTTATGCCCGATGGCCAGGGTTTAGGCTGGTACTACTCGTGGATAAACAAAGTCATGATGATCATAAGGTTCACTACCATACCGTCCAACAAAGTGATGCGTATTTGTCATGAGAAACGATTACAGTTCCAAAGGAAACAACGACTTACCACGGCCGCATGATAGATGCGGATGGTTTTGTACGCTTCACCAGCACCCGTCAAAGCTTGTATCAACGATCCGTTTCGATCCTCTGTATGTAGAGAAAAGAAAACATGTAGGCCGTCAATCCATGAACGTTGTAAGTATTTGATTTGAGGTTGTCGTTCATGAAGGACAGAAGATGGTACAGAACCCGGGGACAACAAAGATCACCTCCGTTTATGTGATACCTGGCTCGTTGCATGTGTTGTAAAAGGCCGACAAATATAACTTACATATTCACATCAAATCACATGGTAATCCACTGAAGATTATTTAAAAAAAACAATTTAGGTTTTCCATTAAAGTGGGATCATCAGTGAGCTCAGATTAAATAAAAACACAAACGGTTCTGATGAATTTACTATGAATCAATCGCTGGAAACGGTAACATGATTTGTGCCATTGTTGTCATACACAACACTGCCTACAGGCCTTGGATTAGCCAAAAACTTTTCAATCCGAATTCCCAAAAGGCAGATCAAAGCCATCTGTCAAGTAGGTCAGAGAATGAGAGCTGAACTGTTCGTTCGGAATTTCAAACAGATTGTAGGATCCGGAAAACAGAGTCACAGGTAGTCGTGGCTGCATAGTCCCCACAGGACCGAGTCTCGACTGGTCGAGTGGAAAAAACGCAGCCCAATCGATCGATGATATGACCGGTATAATGAGGCAGGTGCAACAGTGCATGCGTTGACCTGGATTAATCATTTAGTGTTGTAACAAAGGGCCTAGTGAATTCGACTTCCACTGCCGATACAGACATCCCAGCGCCCTTGGATGCAAGCACATGCTTATAATTGATTGGCTGCTCATCAATATTCTCGTTTACATGCGTACTGACTGAAATACGGGTCAGACAACGGGAGAAAAGCTTGTAGTCGAGAAACCGTGTCCTTCTGTGAATAACGGATCGTGGGATCTACGTATGCGCACCTTACAGAGGAGGTTGATTGTGCATGATTACACCGCATGCGGAAATACGTGAACCAGTGAAATGCGAGAAATAAATACCCCTCAGGACTCGCATTTCCTTAATCGTTACGGACCACTATCACTACCCTCTCTGATTTATGTTTAGTATTCACAATTTCGGTCAGCAGTAAGCCGGAAATGTGCCTTTTTGGTGTGCAAGAATGAAGTTGATTTGGTGTTTATTGCTGAAACCGCTGAACACGAGGAAAGAACCGCAATAAATAGCACCAGAGCTGGGTGTGCGGGATGGAGAGATGATTCGAATTCGCGCATGAAGGACAATATTTAAAAACTGTCTGATTAGACAGTGAAAGGATAACTGTTACGAACTAGGAGAAATTCCATGACGATCAAACGGAATAAACAACAAGAAGTTTCCATCACGACAATGAGAAGCGAGTGAGACAAAACACTGCACCCAGTGACGAAGCGGGATCGAATAACAGTACAGTGTGGTGAGTGTTTGAATTTGAAACGGGACAGCAATGAAAATTGGAAATCAGACACTGGCATTACGTTGTAACGACCTTGGCAACTTGTCATTCCGTTTGAGTGTGAGTCGTGTGCATGTCTCACTGGACCTTTCTGGTTCATGGTGTCTGCATTTTCCTCTCTTTAGATTGTCAGTGAACCCCCTCCCTATGGAGAACATCCTGTCTGTCGACGGTTGTCTGGTACCAGTTTGAAAAAACCAACAATAAAAAATTCATCGGGTGCTTCGTGCTTATCTAGATTTGTGTAACCATCTCCTGCTGATGCATCAATCGATTGTTACTGGGAGCGTAGTCAGGGACGGTCGTCGATTTGGCGGTTAATCTTCAATCAGGTGAGCGTAGGTTCACGCGTTAGGCGACCACGCAAGAACGCGACAGCTAGCGCTCGCCAGCACGGCATCGGTCTGTAGACCGCATTGTGATGGGGGCGCGACAGTGAATAAGGCTACCTCTGCAGTCTTCTTCTATCAACTGGAAATGGTGTACCGACATAAGTGAATAAACATCACAATAAACCAGCGGCTCGTCTGAAACAGCCCGGCTGCTTTGCCGGCTATCCGCGGGTGTGCCAAGGTTACAGGTGCATTCTCCAAGGCCAAAATGTGCTGTCACATTCTAATCTACTCTAGACCGGACGATAGAGTGGCAGAACGACTAGAACCGGGAAGAAGTGTCGGGAAGAATACTTTGCATTCTGTGATTGCCGTTAGCCGCGTTAGAGGGAACAGTCACATCTAATTAGTCACTGCAGCCCTCATTTTATATCACTGTGAAAGCCGGTGGGGACAAAGGTGGGGCAAAGTCAACGGATAGTATGATCCAAAGAAGACAAACGTATCCACAGTTCAAATGAATCACTGTAGATGCGGATCGGACCCAAGATTGGGTGAAAAAAAATTGATATTATAAACACACAGCGCTAGAATTAAGAAACCGACACCTGACTGGTTGTATCAAAAGTTGCAACTCTAGTATTTGAGACTCCTGGACAAGGAATTCACAAGTGTGCAGAGGGTTAAAAACTCAAAGTCAGCTAACGTTAATAAGGAACCATTTTTTATGCAACCAACCAACCACTGCAATACCCACCATGTATATACAGTATTCTGTGCACCCGTCTGTGTGTGCGTGTGTTCGAGCATCCAATAAAAACCCTGGGTGAACTGCACAGCTGAGTACAAGCACACACAAAGCCGTACGGATCTCTCAGGCGTGAGTGAAAGAACTGAAGTGCGCACGACGCCCAGGTGGAAAACGACGGTCAGTGGAGGCGGGAATTATTAGAGGTTCTAAGGCGGATCACCCTAATAGGAATATGAAAGGAACACAGATTGTCTTGTACTGAACAAGTGTTGTGTGTGTGTGTGTGTGCACGCGCTTAAATAGAGGGAAGAGAAAGAATCGGTGAACAACCTCAAAGCAGACCGAATCGATTTTGTCGGCACAAAACGCGGTGAGATATTTTTGGTGTTGGAGGCATTTTTGAAAACTTGATCGGCAAACACGAACCGGTTGGAATCGATTCGGAATGTTAGAATCGAGGCTGAGGAGAATACAGTACAGACGAGGCCAAGTCACTCCATTAGAAATAGTCGGTGCGAACTCCAATCGGTTCACCGATTAATTTTCATCAATATCAGATCGTTTTCCCGGGAAAACTGGGTACTGTTGATACGATAAGTGATAAAATCCAAACGGGATGAAGTTGATGCGATAAAAAATTGCAATTCACGACATGACTTAAGCGGACTACAGTCGGAGACCTGGTTCAAAACCGTGTTCCCTTCCAGGAGAGGGGCGCGAACGGTATGACACATTCAACGGATTTCGCATGTGAAATTGTCATGATCATTTATGGATTGAAAATGCGAGGGAAAAAATAACCCATTCTCGAAATGGCTCGGAACTGACGAAAACACGGTTATTATGACAGCTTTGGGGCTAGATCGCGTAAATGCCCTATTTTAAACCTGTGTGCGTTCATTATTCGCGCGTAAGTAGATTTGTGGTGAACATATTTACGCACACGTTCTCGCACTCACTCACTAACTCATTCACTCACAAAACAGATGCTATCTGTTCCCGGGAGGCACTGCTGAAGGACACCTGTGTGTGTAAGCAAAATCTAACCGGAAGCGATAGAGAACCAGTTATTGACATGACAGCGAGAGGGACGGGACTAATTACGCTGTCACTCGGGTCATGAGAGGTGAATAGTTCACTATTAGTAGCATAAACGGTGTGTTTGTGTATGTGTTGAAATACGCCGTCAGAAAAGTAGAAACGAAAGAAACTCAGATGAAGGGTTATGTGGAGTATGTTGTCTATCTTGTAATCAATATCGTACTGATTGTATAGCTCATACGCACAAACGCACCCGGTGAGCGGAAGCAACAGTGCAACAAAACACACACATTGGACTCACTTGTATGCACATCCGCTTCGAGGGAACGGCACAGACGAAAACACGCGGTTGACAGTTCACTGAAGTCCCTCGCATGAGCTAACATAGGCACGGGAAACAGACGGGGTGAGATGAAACAGAAATTGAAATCAGCAGGTACTGACGTGTAACAAACTGTTGAGAGACAACCTAGACAGTCCAGGTAATTCGTGTGTCGGACTGAACCCCTCCCCTCCTCCTTCCGGCGAGCGGGGTTCGAACCACAAAGTATATTCGGTGGATACGAACGGCACTGATGATCTCTTACAAGGATGAAAGAGCTGTTCAGTGTTTTCTAAGCTATTTAGTCGTGAGTAACAGACGTTGATAGACAGTAGAAATCAACTTCAGACTGCCAGATGTAAACAGATTTGAGGGTAACAAATGCGCAAGGAAAGCAATTTTGATTGGTATTTTGTGGCTTGCCAACTCTACTATTCCAGAACTTATATGCGTGAGAATAGCGATTCACCCTAGGCAGTTTGATAGATTGAATTGACCACTGCCAGATGTCATCGGATTTACGTTTGACACTGAATTAACGCTTTTATTGCACAGTTTTATGTGATCAATAGCCGAAAAAATGACATTTACGGGAGCAAGAAAATCCGTTGTTTGTGGACGAGATGTACCAACTGAACTGTGGCCCAAAAGATGAAGTGAAAAAAGACAGTGGTCTGGTTAACCACACACTTAAAAGACGTCGGCTATTACAGAACGAAAAGAAATGTAAACTGCAAACAAAAGCACTACATTTGAGTTCGCTTTTGTTCGAGCTCGTCAGTAGTGCATATCGATCGTCCCGTTCTGGGTTGGAACTCCAGACCCATTGCACGAAAGACGTGTGTTACCACTGTGCCGACCAGCCCATCATATGATTCATGTTTGTTCAGGTGTCGTCTTCAGTGATAGTCAATCAGTTCGGTTAAACCCTGGTATGAGTTGGTTGACACAATGATAACACACATACCATCCATGCGACGGGTCGGAGTTCAAAGCTCGGACGGGAAGGTGAATATACATTAATGATAAGCTCTAATAAGAGCGAAACTAGAATCTGGTGCTTCTGAGCTCATGATTGACTGGAAGATCTGATGATTGTGGGCGAAGGTGAAGTCTGAGGGATGGACAGTTCAAATCAATGTTTCAACACTGTTGATTCTTCTCGGAAGTGCGTGAATCCATCGATCTCAGGAACAACTCTTGGGACCGCAAGAGCATACTAACCCATTCACCAAGGGTAAAATTTACTACTCAAAGAGAATGATTCCCACACAATCCATTTGTAACACAAAGTCAATAGTGAACTACATACAACCCTCTCTCTCTATGATAAACGGATGACGAGCCCACCCATCCTCTAAGCTGCTTAGATTGTAGTTGTAGTATTATGATTTCCGACACCCTCCCCTCCCGGGATGGAGGGCTAGGAGCATGCTAATTAGTGTTTCGAACCGATCACTCACCGGGGCAACAGCATAAAGACCGTACATATATGGGATCGATCAGGGATGAAATCCACACAGGTAATCAGTTCATCTGATATAATAACTTTCTGATTTTGAGCAGTGCTTTTCAGTCATAACGAAGCGTTTCTCTAACATCTCATCAGGAGGTTAAAATAAACCGTAATGCAAATCAGAGTTTCAGACACTGAGAAGAGTTACTAGTTCTCTTAGAACCGTACCTATGCGTATAGGAGTTGACACAAAGTAGGGGACTACGGGCTATCTTCAAACAGGAATTTTTGACATAAATCGCGGGGACAGGATAAGAATATTACACTGATGTGTGAGAAAGACCATTCCCATGTTCGACCCACAACATATGAGCGGTGTGGAGGGGGGCGGAAGGGGAATGACCGGGAAGTGCGGACCAGCTCTAATGTATTGGAAGTAAATCACAATGTACACAAAAATTCACATGCTGAACAAGTGACAAGTAACACAGATGATGAGGGACAACTTACCACCGGACATTTTCCGATGGAATTCGCAAAGAGTATCGCAGAGAATTTTCGTATCCCGTTCCATGTCCACGGTAAACTTTTCTGCGGCTTCGGCGCGCGCGAGACTACCGGAGGTCAGTGTGTAGAACAGATGGGTGAAAAGTTGAAAGAATAGAAAAATAACGTGAGAATAAACGACTTTATTCATCATAATCTAATGTGAGAAATGCACTGATGACGACATGATCGACAGACTATCGCTGCTTATTCGTTGTTCTCTACAACTGCCCGCATGCGATTTTGGCAAGTACGGACTCGACCAGTGATTCATTACTCGTGTATGGTTATGACCACTCGGCCTCGATATTTATTGAAATGGGGGTCTTTCGAGGGCAACCTCAGTGAAAATTAATTTCACATGATGTGCCCTGCTTTACTCCCGCTTCTTTTCTTCCGATTATCGACCAGGTTTATCCCGAACACCTAATTCCTGTGTATCTAACACTTTCGATTGTCTGTGTTTTTGTTTAACCTGAAGGGTTATGGTTTTGTTTTGAGACACTGAACGTCGAGTCGTTGCCGACCTCTGTATCCTGAAGTCGGGATAATTGTGCTTCCAATCTGTATTTCGACTACTACTACTCACTTCGTTTGTACGCAAAGCGAGCTCTAGCTTCTTATTCCTTACATCGTCCAGATACTGAAGGCTTGTCTGCGGTAGGCCCTAATCCTCATTAGCAATTTTAGATTGTGTTCATGAAAGAAAATCGGGTTAATTTGGACACAGTCTATCTATAAATGATAAGGCTATGAATGAGATCAATACAACGACCCGAAAGTCGTTTTTGAATCTTGCTGCTGTCATATACCCTTCCGATTTCTATCCACCTTCGTGAACCCTTTGACTAGAAGTGGTTCCAATCCTGAATAAATTAATGTAGAATAGCACAAAATAAACAAAAAACGGGGCAAAAAACATTATTTTTTAC